TTTTTTTCAGAACTGGAGATTGAACTCAGTCCCTTGTGCTTACCAGGCAAGCACTTATTCTACTGAGCTATTTCCCCTTTTCAAAAAGAAAGTATAAAACTTGATTTTTCTTTTTTCTAGTGCTGGATATCAAACCCAGGGCCTCGTGCATGCTAGATAAACTCTTTACCACTGAGCTACTATCTTAGTCCTGAAAGGCCTAATGTTCAATAGAATAAATAAAATAGTGTTTTCTTAGCAGAATTTCAATGTAGACTTGACGGAGGCTTTCATTTAAATGAAATTTAGAGTTTATGATATCTCTCATAATTTTGGTTCAATAGTGAAAGCTCAATTTGGGAAGTGCCATTTCGAATTGTCCAATCCTGAGAATTCTTAATGCACAAAATCAACTAATGATTTTATTTCATATTTCATATGAGGACTCAAAGAGAGCAACTGGTAGTACTTTCTCTAGATAAATTTTCAAGTGCAAAATCAAAGTTGCCTTTCTTTTTCAATGCTCGGGATCTAATCCAAAGGGTCAGTTGGGCACTCTAGGCAATGGTGCCTGCTACCGAGCCACCATGCCAGCCCCACCCCTGCCTCTTTAGAACATACCTTGCCAATGGATTTTTTCCTTTTCTTCCCATCAGATATTTGAGGAGATCTCTCAATGCTAATGTCATAAACTCCTAAGCAATTATAAGATTTGGAGACTCCAGAGAATGTCTTTGTAGTAGGCATAGCATAATCCAAAGGACACAGAAATATGGCATTTTTCCTTCCCGACATCCTCCTGAGTGCACACTATGTTCTTTCTTACTGCAGGGGCTGTACACTGCCACACACTCTTTCCTTTGACTGGTGAGTGGCATGAAGATGAACTGTTGGAGGCAGTGGATTCTGAATAATGGATAAGTGAGATCTCCCGACATAGGTTTGACGGCCATAAAATATGAGCTTTGTGATTGTCCTTACATTCACACTCAGGGTCTGACTGAGGGAACATTATTTCTAAATGCCACGCTGACTCAAATTGTGGAGTTTCAGTAGGTGCTTCACTTATTAGTGTTTGAAGCAATTACAGAGAGAATGGGTCAGTGTAATTTTCTGCCTGCACTGAGAAAATCTTTTCTTGCTATTGCATTTTAGCTATTCAAATTCAAATAGGCTTTCTCATCACCACTGTTCTGTCTAGGAAAGGCATTGCAAATAAGTAGCACAGGCCCCTTCCCTAACAAGTTTGCATTTCCAGAGGGTAAGTGTAATTCGCTGCCAATAATCAGGGCATTAAATCAATAGGTAGAATCAATTTGGCTTTTATTTTAACTTTCTGGCATCTGAAACAGTGCACATGCTGTATTTACCTTATATACTTTTGATAATGTTATGATCTTTTACAGCATTATAGAAAATCAGGTTTGAAATTAATTTGAAGGTGTATATATATATATATATATATATATGCAATAGAGCTCTGTGAAGGAACAAACTGTCAGTGAATTCAGAAGACCACAATTGATGCATTGTATTCCACAAAAATAGAAAAACAAGGTACAATGCAATATGAAAATTTAAATCAGAAAGAGAACAGATATCCACATAGGGTGGATGTGATAAATACAATTTGTAGTCTTGACTAAACATTCCTTTGTCATATTGTTGTTTTATGGTCAGAATGACACAGCCACAGAACTTTTTCTTGAATGTTAAGTGAAAAGAAGGTGCTGTGATTATTTAAATTTAAAGAAAAATTGACACAAATTTTCCTGGTGTGGACAATAAAGTAAAAAAATGCATTAGAGGGCCGGGGATGTAGCACAGCCTGCAATCTCAAGGTTCTGAGTGCAAATTCCCAGTACCAAAACAAAACAAAACATTAAAAACAAAAGGAATGACATAGAAAACATGTTTACTTCTTTTTTTAAAATAAGAATTATTAAGATCAGAATTTTCCACACATCATTAGCCAAAGCTCTTTATTCTAGGACAGATGAACAAAGAAATAAGTCCAAGCAGAAGTCACTGTACATGTTCTAGACCAGTTTCCACAATTTCATAATCTAGAGACAGAGTGTGGGTATGTAGATAGGGACACATGTGCGCGCGCACACACACACAATTTGCACAGAGAGAGAGAGAGAGAGAGAGAGAGAGAGAGAGAGAGAGAGAGAGAGATTTGAACAACTAATCGATGTTGAAATCATGTTAAAATCATACAATTTTCCATATACAACAGTTTAAAATAAATAATCTGTTTCCATAGTAAAATAACATCACTACTCACCTAACCTCTCAATGGAGTAGTACCGCTGCTTACTGTCCACACGCACTGTCTCAGCGTAAGGACTACCAACGCCGTACCCAATGATGTAACCTCGCACCACAATGTTTGGGTTCAAGGGTGGAGTCCAGCTCATGATGATGCAGTTGGTCTGGGGCCTCACATGAAGAGAGCTGGGCTGATCAGGGACTTGAGACTCTAGGATTCAAAAAGACATGAGCGTTATGTCTCAGGACAGAGCCTGGGGAAGGTGGCAGAGCTTCTCGCTGAAGACAATAACAGTTCATATACGCTAAACAATTCATCACGTACTGGCCAAGTCCCTCCATTCTTCAGCATGTGCTACATGTTCCATATTTAATTGGAGTGTTACAAAATTTCTTACGTATGGGAGGGTGCCTTCGACAGGGACTCTAGAATATTACTCCATTGGGATCATGCATCTTTAATCTAATAGTGTTTTTTTTTCTTTCTTCATATATTTCTTCATAGCTATCATTAATAAAAGATTGAACAAAGACAGATATAGAAATCACAAAATGAGAAATAAGATATCAAAAACCGTCTTGCTCAGAAATTATTTACTCTGATTTAACCAAAACTAAAAATAAATGTACCAGTTCCTTCTTGAGAATATGTCAGGATAAACAATTTAGGGCACTGATCTGCTCCGCATGATTTGGATGATACATGACTGGTTGTTTATAGCCTCTGTGCAGAATGTATTGTTATTATTTAAAGAAAGAAAAAAGACTGGCCTGGATTTAAAACACACAGGATTTGGAGCTATACAAATTTGGCTTTACACCATGTTCTATCATTTTTTAGCTGCATGCCTCATGAAACTATTTAGTTTCTCCAAATTTCTGCTCTGGTTAAATTGACATTCCAAATATTGACTGACTCAAGGGCTGGGCAGTGTATGAAAAAAGAATAAAGTTAAAAGTTGGACTAGGGACTCACACACTATGAAACTATAAGATTTTACTCACTTTCTCTAAGCCTTAATTCCTTCAACTGTAGAATGAAGCTTGTTAAGATTTTCTACAGTGCTTGCAGATTTAGTGAGATAATGTATCAAAATACTCTTACAATTAGCACCTGAGATCTCACGCACAACAACCTAACAATAATTTCTCTTAAAGAGATTTCATGATGATCATTAATGAACTCAACATTAAACTGACATTTTTTTGCGATAAATTTATTGAGAAACAAATAGTAATAAGACAGTTTCAAACCAAACTGGTAGGACAGTTTCAATAATTAACATATTGTATACATTCTTCCTAGTGGTTAATTGCT